CAATGTGTTGCTATGTGTTTCCTTATATTAATATTGGAATATTAAAACAAGTGTCAATAAAACGTTAAAAGAGACGCATCTTCTATCTTTCCTCATAAAAGGCATAAAAAGATAAATCTATCTATTGAATGATATTAAAAAGTTGCACATACATTTGGCGAAGCAAAGAACTGCAGTATATGTAGCATTAAAAGAATCTTTTACATATGAAAAATGGCTTGCCTTAACTGAGGTCATATTAACTTCAATACATGTCTTTAATAGACGTCGAGCAGGAGAAATGGAACGAGTAGAAATAGAAGATTTTAAACATTATGTTAAAGTTAATAAAAATATGTTTGGTGATATTTATAAATCCTTATCAGTCAAAGATAGAAAAATTGCCAAAAAATACGTGCAATTTTGTATTAGAGGAAAGTTGGAACGAACAGTACCCGTTTTATTGTCAAACGAAATGTGAATTGACCGTATTTCATTAATTTTGAAATTTTGTACAGAAACAAATGTACCAAAAAAAAATCCTTTTATTTTTGGATTACCTGGTTTCGATAAAAAAAAATATCGATATCTGAGAGCATGTGTTTTAATGCGGAAATTTGCACGTCCATGTAACGCAAGTGAATCAACTACTTTGCGTGGTACAACATTATATGATTGCAATGTGCTTTTTACAGACATAACTCAACCTCTTCGGTTAAATGCGACAACAATGGAAAAAATAACAAAACGCGAGGAATTTATTATTGTTTTGTGGGAATTTCACACAGCAAAATTTTTTTGAAAAAGCTTATTTTTACTGATTGCTTTCCTATGAGTTACGGTTTAATTTTCCAAAGCTAGTTCTCCTTCAATAATACCTAACTTTACATAATCTACTGTTGTATATAGGAATCAATTTGTGTGCAATAAGTGAAAGTGTACAACAAGAAAACATAGCGACACATTGTATTCAGTTCAATCTGAATGATACTGAAGTTTCGGATCTTGCAACGTTTATGAGTCATGCGGATAAAATACATAAGGAGCACTATAGGCAACCACAAGCAAGCAGAGATATACTTAAAATTTCTCGAATCTAGAAACAATACAAGTGTGCGCGCGCTTATTCTTAATATTATAGCTTTTAACTATCGATGCTTGGATTGTGCAACTTGATTGCTTTGTACAATGTGTTTCTAATTTGAGTTAGCAGAAATATCAGGACACTCTTTATGTTATCTGATGCAACCAACAGACTCGGACAGTCATCTTGTTCAACAATTG